AAGTAACGTAAGTTACGTACTCTCTTCTTCGTTACTACACACACTACACTACTAGTACGTCGACTACTACGTACGTAACTACTTACTACGTAAGTAACGACGTACTACTCTCTCTCTCTCTCTCTCTCTCTCTCTCTCTCTCTCTCTCTCTCTCTCCTTATATATATATATATATCGCATACCTGGTTATTGTTGAGGGGATTTTCAAATAAGCAAGTGCCATTTTCATTCCAATCACCACCATGAAAATGCCTTGGTGACTGCGTACGCCAGAACTTAAGCTTTTCTTTAGGGACTTCTCTGTCAATGTAAGAGATCATATTGTTGAGGACAACCTTGAGTCCATCTAGAATTCCAAGTGGAGGATTTATTGCCTTTCCATTTTTGTAGAAAACAAGGGGTGTCTCCTTTGGAAATTTGTCGATCCCCCACCTGCAATAAAAAGAATGAACAACGATAGTGGTTTATCCCTCAAATTTGATAGAATAAAATGGAAGATCATATAGTAAAAGAAATAAATAACACAAGCAAACAAAATGGACCTTCAAGAAAATGAGACAAAACTTTGGGCATTAACACAAAAGATTCCATGCTTTGCCACTAATGAGAATTGTAAGGTCCAGGACTTTTCCAGTTGTTGATCCTGTTTACGTCGTGAATCGTTTCCTACTAATGCTTACCTCAGAGTTCTTTTTCGATTTGCTGAATAGCCTCTGTCTGGTGTTTTGAGTGGTACAATGTTATTGTAGGGATCGCGAGCTTTCCGACGGTACAAAAATCACTCAGATCTGAGCTACCGTCAGAAAGTCATGATCCGTATCTCGAATATTTTTCTGCATGCATCCCAATGCGCCATGCAAGTATCCCCATGCGTACATGCACTCTTATGTACACAAATCCCCACAAAAAAAAAAAACTCACCCCAATGCACTCTCTCCTCTCATATACTATCTCTTTTTATGCATGCTCATGCATGCCTTCTCTCTCCTCATGTATAATCACTTGAGTACCATGTAGCATATGTACGCTTCCACCTCCATCATTGTGTTCCCCATGTATAATAGATGTATGTATGAATGATCCCATACATAACCCCATGACAACATGATAGCATGACAAATATATGATTACATGATATTAACATATGAACTGACTACATGAATGCATAACACATGCCATGACATGCATACTCATATTAATACATATGACATAACTACATGGTTAGATATTATACATACAAAAGTTACATGACCCCTACCCACATGCCACCATGCTCCCCATGCTTATATATACCCCCCATCTACTCATAAATTACGTTTCACTCTCTTCTCACCCCTTCACTCCCTCACGTGCTCCTCTTTCCCCCTCGTTCTTCTTCTTCTCCCTTAGTCATTAAACCCCACTAAGCCCATTAACCCCATAAGCCTTAAACCTTTGAAGCCTGAACCCAATCCACTTGGGGATTTCGATTGGAGCAAAGTAAGTAGATTTCGTTTTCCACGGTTTCATGCTTATATTACTGCATGTTTATTTGCTTAATTCAATGTGAAATTCCAGTGTGTGTGTGTGTGTGGGTGCATGCTTAATAAAATTCTGTTAAAGGGTATTCTGATTCCCAGAATTGTGGTCCATGTTTGAGTGATTGTTAGGGTACCTTAAACCTTGCATTAGACCATGAATCTTGGTGGGTCAGTAGGATGTTGAATGTATTTCCACATGGAAAAGACCCCTTGTTAATATCTCATTTAATTTAAAAGCTATTAACCATTTGTTCAAGCATGCCAAATCTGTGAATTGAAAATCCAGGAATTTGACTATGTTTCTGTGTGAAGCTTTTGACTGACCCAAATTTACTAGAAAGAGATGAAACCACTTTGAAATATTAGATAAATGAGTTTAGATTAATTTTGATTTCGGGATCATGATGAAACTCTCTATAGTCTGGGAGTTATGGTTGTATTTATAGTAGAATGTCTATTGTGGTTTCTACTGTATAGAACAGAAGTTACCCCCCCTAAAGAATCCCTTTGTTTTTGGAGCCGTAAACAGTAGCAATTTGAGCCCATATTCATTCCTTAGTGAGATTTTGTCTTTATCTATTGTAAGCCTTACAGTTGATTTTAAAAACAATATTTGACATATTTTTGAGATAATAAACAAAGTTCAGCCATGCTTTTGCCGGATTTTAAAAAATTGTGATTTCTTTGCAATTGATGCTCAGTCTTTGATGACATTTGGTCCCAACCCTTATTTATGTGTTCCTTCCTGATCCAATAATAGGCTTGATGTTCGCAAAAAACAGTAGAAAATTATGATTAAAGATATTTTAAAATTCGGATTTACTTTTCATCCAAATTTTTCAAGTGCTTCGATCTCCTCGATCCGGACTTGAAACCGAAAATTGGTAGGAGGGTTTGATTTGAGCGGACTGAGGAAGCTTTCACAAGGATTGGAGGCATCGATTTGCTTCCAAATCAAAGATCGGGGAATTGGCCTCGAAAGTTTAGGTATGTTTCATTTATTTCAATACAAATTCATAAAAATTGATTTTTTTTTACTAAATCAATATAATGGATTATGTTTTTATGATTTTTCCATTTTTATTTTCCATTTTTCTGAAATTTCATAACTTTTAAGATTTTTTATTTTTTTTGGCAAATAAAATTGATTTATTCCTATTCCATGTTTTATATAACTTTTATGGTTTTGTATATTTTGTGAGATTTTTTCTCTCCTGAAATTTTTTAATTCTAAAAAAATTTCACACTTTTTTGTCATGTTTTTGCCTCTTTTCTCTAACGCGGACGTGACTGGTGCAAATCCAAGCCAACGTGCCTGAGTCACTCAGCTCGGGCAGGTGCCAAGTCCACTGCCTGAACCATGTTTTGAAACACCACATTCAACCTCATCTTCCCCTATTCTCCTTTCAAGATCCCCGTAATCAAGTCCTTTGAAGACTAAACTGTTCACTCCCCCCTGAAATCTGAACTTCAATTCACACATTGTTTGGCTTGCTACTTCATCCATGACAAAACAAATCATCCCCTTTGAGCTCAATCATGTTTAACTACCCAAACAAACTTCAAGGGATGCAAATGATTTGAGAGGTACCTCACATGATTGATCAGAATGCACATCAATCATGAACCACATCGAAATAAAAAAGCTAAAGAAAAATAGTAGACTATATATTGAAGAAGCTTAAAAGAAGGGGTACATTTGTCCACGTGCAAGAAATGTCACCTAAGATCTGCCACTTATCTTTGATTACAACACTCTAATATGTTTAAATAACTCCTTAAATTCAAATAAGTTTAACTACTACAATTTCAACAAATAATCATGCAAAAAACTAAATAAACAAACACGTGTGAAATAATGCACTTCAGAAATTTAGTTTTAATGCCTCAAGAAAATTAGTTTAATGCCTGAGAGATGAGATCCAAATCTGAAATTGGTTGACATCTGTCCTTAAACAAAATCAGCTAAATAAAATCGAATCCAATCAAATTTAAAGCAAACATGCAGTCAGGAGAAAAAGAGGGATGTAAAATCACATTAAATTAATTCCAAGCGTCTCCACAACAATTTCTAGGCTCTGATGATGATGATGATTATGGATTTTTTGAATGAGGTCTATTTGCTGTTGGAGGGTCGCAATAGAAGAAGAAATAAAAACAAGAAGAAAAAAGTAAGAAAAATAAGGGAGAAACAAAAAAATTAAGAGAAGAGGAAGAATACAAACGAATTATATGATCCTGCAAACTTTGAGCTTATAATACATTCTTGATTACCTAGCAAAACCGAGAAATCCTAAATAAATTATGTTAAAAATGTCTTGCAATAATCAAAATAATCTGCAAGAAATTTTGATGTAGTTAGGTTTTCATTTTTTTATTTACTATTCTTTTATACCGTAAACTTCGGTTCAAGACTTCAGGTCATATGGTCTTTTATTTATTTAAATTTGGGTATTTGTGTCTTTTTTTAGTTAACCAATTTGGTTTTATACCAAGAAGGCCAACAACTGAGGCTATTTTCCTACTTAGGCAACTGCTTGAGAAGTTTAGGGTGTGGGGAAAAGACCTTCACATGGTCTTTATTGATCTAGAGAAAGCTTATGATAAAGTACCTCGAGATTTGATTTGGCGGGTGTTGGAAAAGATATAAATCTCCAGACACTGCATTGACATGGTGTGAGAAATGCACGATGGAGCGCTAACTAGTGTATGAACAACTAGTGGAAAGACGAGTGAGTTTTCAGTGACAATAGGTCTATATCAAGAATCAGTATTGAGCCCATACCTATGTCTTAGTTATGGACGACTTAACTAAGAACCTATAAGGTGAGGTACTGTGGTGCATATTGTTGGCAAACGATATAGTTTTGATCGATGAGACCTTAAACAGCATCAACACAAAGTTAGAAATTTAGAGGGACTCTCTAGAATCCAAAGGTTTTAAAATTAGCTGGAATAAGCCAAAGTACATGAAATGTAAGTTTAGTAATAATAGGAGTAGAGACAAGGAAGTAGTTTAGATTGATGGTCAGGAAGTACAAAAAAAAAAAAGTACTTTTGATATCTTGGGTCGATAATCCAAGAAAATGGAGGGATTGAGGAAGATGTCGCATACAGAATTAGAGTTGGGTGGGCGAAGTGAACATGTGCAACTGGCATTTTATGTGATCTCCGCATACCAATGAATCTGAAGAGCAAGTTCTACAAGACAGCTATAAGACCAACTTTGCTCTATGGGGCTGAATGTTGGGTGTACAAAAAATAATATAAACATAGAATGAGTGTAGCAAAGATGAGGATGTTGAGATGGATGAGTGACAAGACAAGAAGGGATAAAATTCGGAATAAATTCATTCGAGAGAATTTAGGTGTGATACCAATAGGCGATAAGATTAGAGAAGGTAGACTTAGGTGGGCTGGCCATGTGTGACACCGACCAAGTACAATACCTGTTAGAACATGTGAGTTAGTTCAAGTAGAAGGACTTAAAGAGCAAGGGGTAGGCCTAAAAGGACATGGTTGGAAGCAGTTCGGAAAGATATGGGAACGTATGGCCTCACTGAGGGTATGACCTTTAATAGAGCAGAATGGCGAACCAGGATTCGCGTAGCTAACCCCAATTAATTGGTAAAAGGCTATAATGATGATGATGATGATGATATTGTCTTTTTTTTGTTGGAGATAATTGAAGGATAGAGTTGGAAGTTTAATTTTAAATAGAGGAAGGGTTTGGATTTAGTTGGGAATAGGGTATCTCAAAGAATAAGTAAAGATTTAGAGTATTTTTTAATAAATGTGTAGAGTGTTTGAAAAGAAAAATGTAGAGAAGCAGAAAATTGATTTCTAGGGTCTTACAAAGATATCTTTTCTAGGAGTGGACTACCCTGGGAACCCAAAGAGAGTGTATATTCT